GCAATTCAGTTCACTAGGCTTTGGAATAGAGCTTAGGTTTTAATTTTAAAGGTTTCACGCGTAAACAAGTTGGACTCTGTGTAAAGTGTGCTGCTCAGAGACAGGAGGAACCACAGCAGAACACAGTAAACATGATTCATCATCATTCCCTCCACCTGATGTCATTATGTTATGGGAATGAGAGTGCTAAAAAAGGAATAAGCCAGAGAGGGGAGAATATGACATGTAATTAATTCATAGCGTCTTCATCTCTCTCAGGACTCATTTTTTATGAAACACAACAATGGCTTCACTGTTTGAATTAAGGGCTAAGGAACACAATAGGTGTACTAACAGCTTTCTCTACATGACCTCCACATTCTGTGACCTCTAGCACAGAAAATGCCGTTTCAGTTATCACCAAAGAACATGCACTCATTTGCTCTGCTCCAAAACCTTGTGAGCTGCTTTTAAGGGGTCACAGGGCACACTCATTACTCTAGAGGTCACATTAAGGTCCACTGTCTATTGTCAACAGCGTAGCGATGAATGAAGCACCACTCACACAGAAGTTACTTTCAACCCAAACTGCTTCTGTTGGTCATTGTGGCCAAATTCCCAATATTCATAGGTTTCTGTTGAAATGATTGTTTTTACAGTTCCTTTTGATTAATTTAATGAATCCTTGCTGAATAATTGTGATTATTTATTAATTGATCTATTTATTTTAAATTAACATTTAATTAACCCTAAACTTTTAAATGGTAGTGTATCTCATTTTCCACAAAAATATTAAAAACACTGGAAATAATAAAAAATGTTTTTTTGAGCACCAAAATCAGCATATTAGAATGACTTCTGAAGGATTGTGTAACATTAAAGGCTGGAGTAATGACTGCTGTAAATTCAGCTTTGCCATCACAGAAATAAATTACATTTTACAATATATTAATTATTTTAAATTGTAATAATATTTCCAAATATTACTCTTTTTACTGTTCATCGAATAAATGCAGCCTTGGTGATATTTCAATATCTTCATAATGCCAAACTTTTGACCAGTAGTGCATAAATTACTATTTTAATTATTTTATTGATTTTTTTTTTAAACGAGTCACTTATAAGGTACCATCACTATTAGGATATGGTCTCAGAAGGCAGCTGCCTACTTAGGCAGTGAGGCATGAGGCAGCTCACAGGGTTTTGGAACAGACCCCAGTCTGCTCATTGTCAATCACATCTCCCTCGGAATCCTTAATTAAATCTCTCTTGTCTCTTTCTCCATGGAAGTGAATAATGCAGCGAGAAAGCCTTCATATCTTTCATGGCTTGTAGTTTCCAAATAGGACCCCTCAGAAACCAAATGCTTGAGGCATAAAATGCAACAAAGATGCTCAGTGAATAAACATTGGCTGTGTATCTCAGGTTCAGCTAAGCGACCAAAATCCCTCAATACTCTAAGCTGTCACAGCAGCCTCTCAAGCACACGTTTATGATCTATGGCTATATATCACACAGAAAGAGACTCACAATAGAAGCAGTCCCATTGCACACTAAACTCAGTTACCCTGTTCTTTTTATTGCATATTAATCCCCAGGTGCCAATCCCATCTGAAATCAGACCAGACTTACTATTCATCTGATCGCTTGCCGTTTCTTAACCCTAACCATATCCTCATGGACAAATGTGAATCCTTGTGTATTCATTACACTCTAGCAAAGAGACAGGCGAGGTTATTTTTCCTGTTCAAACAAGTGCAGGTTTATGTCTTATGTCTAAAACAAAGCCCGGTGCTTTCAGAGGCCTTATGTCTCCATCAGACAGTCACAGCCAATTGACATTACAAACTTCATTGCTCTTCCTGTTAAAAAAAAGGCTTTTAATGTGTCTTAACATTTTAACAAAAAGGATTCATTTGTGATAATTAATGCTTCAAAACTAATGTTAAGTGGATGAAGAGTAAGGTTTTTTTTAAATTGCCTATCGAACCATCATGTAAATATAACATGGCACAAGACAGAAAAAAATGTAACTTTTTTTAAAGCTCATCTGCTTGCATGACTTGAGCTATTAAAAAAGAAAAATCAGCTTATATTGATAAACCACAAAAATTAATCAGCTCATCCCCATTTTGCATGTTAATGAGAAAGAGGCTAATTAAAGAGAGACGAGAAATGCTGTTGACTTTGAACAGCTGCCATTACAACTTTATGAAACTGCTACGTATGGCTCCAGACCGGTAACCATTTACTCAAAAACATTTTGAGAGAACAAGGCTGTTGAAACTTTTAACTAATACGTGACTGTTGTTTGTATCTGGAAGGTCAACTGGTCTCAAAGCTGTGTGAGAAAAGTGAAAATACACACCAAAAGACACATGCTCAAACGCAAACATGGCTTTGTTGAGGTTTGCAATAGTCAGCACATTCTCACACGGATGCACCAACCCTTGAGCAGGATCACACACACTCTGTGTCCACAGAGAACTCTGCAGATTTCTGCAGGATTGCAACACCTATAGAGTCAAGATGTACTAAAGTGTGCAGAAAAGTACGCTGCTGTTTGAAGGTTTGAGGTTGGTAAGATGTTTTCATGTTTTTGAAAGACGTCTCTTATGCTTACCAACGCTGAATTTATTTGATATTTGTAATATTGTAAAATAACGGTAATACTGTGAAATATTATAATAATAATGTTGTGAAAAATTATTACGATGTAAAATAACGGTTTTCTATTTTATGTTTTTGTGAACACTGTGATCCGGTTTCACTCAAATTTAAAAAGAACTCCATTTATTAGAAGGTTTTTACTGTCACTTTTGATTTAATACAATTTAATGCATTCTTACGGAATAAAAAAAATATGAATGTCTTTCTTCCAAAACAAAAAACCCTTACTGATGCAAAACTTTTGAACCATAGTATAATTGAAAGTGCTCAAGTTTTACATTTTTTGTTTTACTTTCCATTTCTCAGTTACAAATCGTATATATGACTGAATATATTACTTAGTTTGATAACTAATCCATCCTCTTATGCTCAAGACCAATGCATTCCACAGATTTCTCCCAAATTAAAATGTGACAAACTGCAGATTCCTTGTGGGTTTGTCCATGAGCTACTTTACTGTTTTTCTTCTGCCAAGCAAAACATTCCAACAACAAACACATGTAGACCTCTCAACAAAAACTATATGACTACATTTGATTTCCCATTATTCCTATTTGTTCATTCACCTTCGTTTTTCTCTTTTAAAATCTGACAATACACAAACGATGGTCCTCTCATGAGTGGGGTAAACAGTAAACAGTATTTGTCTTCTTTAATGGGATGTTTTCACAAGCCTTACAGACTCGTCGAAAAAAAAAAAAAAACAGGTCATCTAAAAATGGTACATTTTTCATGCCTCTTTGTGGCTCATCTATAGTAATACATAAAAAATGAGCCTCAATAAAACATTTTCCTGTCTCAATAAGTAGAGCTCTGAGGTAAAATGATCTTAGATCAGTCTGTCAGAAGGAAAGAGGTATTGAGTGGCTCCCTGATGACTCCCTGATGCAGTGGGTGTAAATAGAGACAGACATCTTCCACAAGGACTGATGTTTTTCAGGGTTTTTAAGACAGCATGTCTAGTCTTGAGACCCCTGTTCTGTTCCACTGTATTGCAACATGTCTTGTCTGAATTCTCCCTTAGCCTGCATCCCTAATCATTCATTTGCAGACAATTGCAAGCTAAAGGTCTGAGCATCACTCACACACAGATGGTTTAAGCCAGCACAGGCCTCAATCTGACCTGTTTCTGAGGGTAAATCTGCCTCATTCTATCTGGATGAACTTGGTCAGGGATATCAATTGGATTAAAACACACTGTCTATTTAGCACTCTGCCGCTGAGGATTACGGCTGTGTTTGTCATAATGATAAAAGGCCTAAGCAGAAGAGTACTGTCACCTGACACCTGGGATTCCCAGAGGATCTCTGTATGCTGATGTGCACTCAATGCACTCTGTGCAAGCAGTAGCTCTGCTCCAAAAACCTAGTGAGCATGCTGCCTACTGCCTACTAAGACAGCATCTTAACAATCACAGAACCTTATAAGTGACTTGTCTGGAATCAGCAGCAACTCTAGCGCAATCATAAAAAACAGTAAAACTAAAAATATTATTTAAACTATCTTTTATTTTAACATATTTTAAAAAGTTACTTTTTCAGGCGATTCTTTTTTTTTTTCAGCATCATTACTCCAGTCCTCAGTGTCACTTGATCCTTCACAAATCATTCAAATACACATGTTGATTTGGTGAACAAGAAACATTTCTTCTTCCTATTAATGTTGAAAACAGATGTGCTGATAAATATTTTTATGTTAAACATGTTTTTCAGGATTCTTTGATGGATAGAAAGTTCAAAAGAACAAGCATTTATACGAAATCGTAATCTTTTGTAACATTATAAATGTCTTTACTGTCACTTCTGAATGGTAGTGCATTTCTCTCATCTCGTTTACCATCTTTATTTTATCTCTGAGCTTGTCACAATGCATTTTGGTATCGCCTTTACAGTAAATTTGTCTGCGATGCTGGTATTGCTTTAGTATTTAACTGAAAACTGAGTGTTTACTATTGTCATTTTGCATTATTGACACACTATTTTCCTATTTAATGCTGTAAAGTTGCTTTGACACTATCTGTATTGTTAAAAGCACTATATAAATAAAGGTGACTTGACTTGACTTTAGCATACCGCCTCAGTAGACAGCTCACTAGGTTTGGGAACAGAGCTTCACTTCCCATAAAACTGTGCACTACAACCCTCAGTAGTCTAACAGTGTGTTGGCCATACACTATTTTTAAACTGTATCTTACTGGAATTCACTTCCTTAAAGCAATGCACCTGCCTTTCATAACTAGGTTTTTTTTTCTTTTTGAGAAAAACCAAAGAGTCGGGTCTTTTCCTGTCCCTTTTTCAGAAGAGTGACAGCTTAAAGATGTAATAATTCGGTGGTGTCAAAAGTAGACATACCTTTAGTGGGTTCTGTGCGCTTGGGTAGGTCCAACGTGTCATAGTTTTTGTCATGGTCTCCGTTTTTCCTCCCTAAGTGAAGAAGGGGAAGACAGAGTAAGAGAGCATAAGAGAACAAGACAGAACGAGCAGTTGTAAGTGTCACTCTATGAGAGATGGAATTTACTGGTATGAAAATGTCAAGTAGACCCAGTCTCAGACACACACACAGTTACAGACGTGCCACACATAAATCTAACTACTACACAGATATGCAAAGACAAACTCTTGACACCAGCTCGCAAGGGTGGGAACCCCCATTAAAAATGCAGAGCCTTAGTCATGGAGGACGGCTGTCTGTAACAGAGTGAAGTAATGAAGACCACTCCACTACCACACACAGAGAACATGTTATAAGGATAGTTCCTCAACAAATGAACATTACTCACCTTCATATTGTTCCAAACTTATTTGACATGCTCCAAAGCAACAAAAAAGCATCTTAGAAATAGTCCACATGACTCACACTCTATATTTCAAGTACTCTGAAGCCATAACATCCCTTAAGACCAACACCAAAGCTATTTTTCCAGTAAAAATCTTTTCCCCCCCACTGTAGCTCTCTTATCTTCTTTGCACAAATTAAATATGCACATATTAAAATTTGGTGAATTGCTAAAAAATGGCAATTGTCATGGTGTCTTGTAACCCAATCACGATGCACCAAATGTAAATAGGCACATCTCTGTAGTGGAGAGGAAGATTTTTTATGAAAATTAAGTATCTAAATTAATTAATTACATCAGAATTTAAAGTCTTTTTTAATTGTTTGTTCTGCAACAATCTTTAAAACAAGTTAAGCGTACTTGAGAGGAAATACTGTATGAAATATTGGCAAGATACTGGCAGATTTTTTAAATTGTTTAAAAGCAAAGGCAAGTTTGAATTGATGACAACAAGTTTGAATTAAAAACAAGTCTTAATATCTTATGCAGTGTTGCTTCTCATGTAAATTGATCTTGTTGAAAGATTTCTTGATATTTTAACTAATGAACAAGACAAAAATCTAATTTAGAATAGGTTTTTTGTTTTTTGCAGACAAAGCTATTGCATGATTTCTGAAGACTTTGATTAGTGCACACTTCGTATGGATTGTACTATGGAACTTTTTGGCATTTTTGCTTAGAGTTTGACAAAATTCTCTTTCATTATATGAAAAAGGACAATGTGAACATTCTGACATTTCCTTTTGTGTTCTATAAAAATAAAAAAATTATACAGGTTTGGATCAACATGAGAGTGAGTAAATTATGACATTTTTCAGTGGAACTATCCCTTTAAAGCAATGGCCAAAAAGACAGAAAGCAAAAGCAGGCCTCGTTAACAGATAACAGACACACAGACACACAGACATCTATGCCAGCTGAAAGGGGCTTTGAACCAGCTAAATTGGCACAGGTTTGACATTTCCTTGAGGACAGGAACACTAGCCAGTTATTTAAGAATGGAAGGTGAAAGAGTGAAAGTGGGGCAGTGATGAAACGTTTATTCTGATGAAGATAGAGGAAGGCATTATGTGAGTGTATGCTGAGAGAAACAGACAGACAGAGGAAAAGCAGGAAGAGACACTCACCTTGATTAAACCATTCCTCTACAGTTAGCCAACGCAGGAACAGCAGCAAGACCAATAAGAAAACAGAGCAGGCAGGGAAGAAGAAAGGAGATTCAGAGAGTGTGTGTATTAAAGGAGACAGAACTTATTTGTGAACCACTTAAAAGTACATAGAAAAAGGAGAGAGAGTTTTAGAAAAAATGAATCAAGTACAAAGTTGAGGAGGGAGTCCATTAGTTCCCTTAAGTGAAGATTCCAGAAAGGAGACAAAAGAGTTTATGCAGCTTTTTGCAGCAAATTCACTAAATGGTTACAAGAAACTTATTAATATATTCACAGATTTCATGCATCATTGTGTTCTGCAATGCTGTCAGAACAATTCATAATGTAATACTGTATTCTCAGCGTGGCTGCAGGGCTGCTATACTGGGCATTAGCATAATCAGTCTTCTACAGTCAGTTTTCTCTTTAAGGCCATCTACTGTGCAGATTTGAGCAATTTACTTTGTAATCTAAACTATCAAAGGCATGCTCTTCAGCTAGCCAACTGAAAATCAACACATTTGGTTTAATAGCACAGACATTTGAATATCTATTGCCTCTTTGAGTGCTGAGCATCGCTAATGCTAAGTGGAAACACAAAGAAAGGTAGATGTTTAATATGACCTTGTTTTATTTTGCTTCAGTACTATAATGTGATATGTACACTACCGTTCAAATTTTTGGGGTAAAAAATGTTTGTGAAAAAGCTCTCTTATGCTCAGCAAGGTAGCATTTATGTGAACAAAACTACTGGAAAACAATGTTGTGGATGTGGAGTATTAGAACTGAAAATAATTGTTTTCTATTTTAATATATTTTTAACTTGCAATTCATTCCTCTGACGGCAAAGCTGAATTTTCAGCAGGCATTACTCCAGTCTTCAGTCACATGATTCTTCAGAAATCATTATAATATGCTGATTTGGTGCTCAAGAAACATTACTTATTATTATCAATGTTTTGCTGCTTAATATATTTTTTGGGGGGGGAATCGTGATTTATTTATTTACTTTTGATCAAATGAATGTGTCCTTGCTGAACAAAAATATTCATAAAAAAATCTTATTGACCCCACAACTCTTGAATGACAGTGTAATTTAAATGACATTCATTAACCTAACTTAATAATTAAGAATAAATACAGCATTTCCTATGAGAATTTCCTATCAAATCTACTAGCGGTGCAGAAATAACACATTTTCTGCTTTAATTTGTGGTAATCCAACATAGCAACCTAAACTTTTATGTGTTTATACAGGGCTCCAGACTCATTCTTCCCACTGGTCGCTCTTTTGTGCACGAGCACATGATTTGGTCGCAAATTTTATTTTTGCGCTACAACATGGGATTAATCAATGCATGCTTTTATCATAGTTATATGGAAACGAAAAAGGTTAACATTCAACCCGTTCTTTTTCATCAGTATTATTTGTGATTTAAATTTTATGAACGGGAGTTCTTCTTTTGCTGTGTTATAAGCTGGGCTTGGCGATCTTGTCACGTTTTACAAGAAAAGATAATTGTCTGTTTTGCTTACATACATCTACACACCTTTCACTTTTTAAGAATAAAACAAAAGATGGATTCATTGTTATTCTTAATTAAAAAGCACAACAACAATAAAACAGTAAGATACAATGACAAGCTAGCTTACAAAACGTTTATTAACAAAAACGAATAAGATGAGGCATGGCACACACCACATGCTGTATTATATACCGACTAATAAATTACAGAAAGTTTAGCAAACACTGAGGAATCAAATAAATAAATAAATAAAAGAGAGCCTCCATAGCTTAATGTGAGGTAAACAGCAAAGATAACAAGCTTTTTAAAATGAAAACAAAAAGAAAAGTAAAACTAAACTTGCTGTCGGTGACAGTGCTTGCATGTTTTTCTCCCCATACGAATACCAACATGTTCACCTTTGGTTAAAGAAGCGGTCTTTTACTTTACTTTAGCTTGAAAACCATCCAACGTTTCCTCAATATGCGCATCATTTTTGCTGTGTGCAGCTTCGCGCTCCTGCTGACGCGGCGAGTATAAACCATGCTATACACTCGAAGCGCTGCGCAGCTCAAACGAGTAGCGCAGTTTCGTTATGCTTTCAGTTTAGTTTGCCGTTTGATGTTTCTCATATGCAACAGAAATGGCAGCGCTTATGAGTTGAACAACGCAGTGGTCACGCCAGTGAGACCGCACACAAAATTTAGTCACACAGGCAGAAAAAATGGTCGCAGTCTGGAGCCCTGTTATAGTGAAAGTGTCAGGAGTTTTATGTGCAAAACTAAATCTAAAACTAAATGTCTTTTAAAGGTAAAATTTTGCTGGGGAAATGTCCAAACAGCTTGACGGGAAAACATCCCTTAACGCTTGTTAGGGGCATTTTCTGGTGTAAATATAGGTCACTTGCATCTTCAAAGCAAATCTCCAGGGCTGCTGACAGATAAACAAACCTCATTAAAAAGGGTCCATGAGGCATAGCATGACATCAATGTTGTCATCTTTGCTGCTTACCGACATTCTTGCTTTTGCTCCTTCAGTTTGTTCATTGAATTCACTTATAGGTCTGTTCAATAATAAATTCACTAAATGATATCATTAATATTGTGGCGCTGAGGCCGTTTGCTTCCCGCTATAAATGTGTTCACTATTATTACCTGTTAATGGGGGGGGTAGTTGGGGGAGGGGCCAGGTGCGTGTGGCAGTTCGTTCATTTTGAGCTCAGCTCAGGGAAGAAAAAGTTCAGAGCCCTTCGCGTTTTCTTGTTTTTGGGAAAGTTAGGATGCCTCCTGATACCTGTGTTTTAGGTTGTAACGTTCAGGAAATAAACAAAGGCCGTTGGCTGCTTTTGAACTGGATCTCCGTCTCCTGCCTATTTATTTTGGGAAGTTGTGCAACGCTACAATATATTCAAGATGTCTCACATCAGTTCATTTAAGAGAGAACAAAAAATCTGGACAACTAGTATAAGAAAAAGAAAAAAAAAAAGAAAAAAAAACCTTGAAACTATCTGGAACCTGGAAATGAATCAATTCTCTTGGCATTATGTAAAAGAATATGTACCTGAACAACACTCAGCAGTTTAAAAGTGAAGTGTTTCGAAGAACTGATTCAACTCAGACAATGTAGCAACACAGACAGTGAACCTACACCCACATCCATTTAAAGATGAACACTGATTCTCCAGTAATAAATCATGAGTCATAAAAGAGCACAGGCCAAACAAAGAGAGATTCAAACATCATTTAGCTTCCTATTACAGTATCTGCCTGCACTGCTATTTATGATGTTGTGTAAACGCTAGGATCATACTGCCCTCCGTGAACCTGCCAGTGATGGAAGCATCCGGCTGATGATAATCAAGACTCAGTGATCTAAAGATGCTCAGCACTGTTTTAGTAGTATAAAGCACATAGATGAGATGAAGAAAAATTCAATAATGACCTTTGGCCTTCTTTCCTCCGAAGCAGCCTGCATCATCTTTCTTCTTCCTCTGAGTGCCAGCAGAGCCAGGGCCCTGAAGAGCTGAGGGATCCTGGAACTTCTCGGCCCCTGGCACCTCCTTGTGCACGTGGTAAGACAGGTTCCTCATGATGCACACACAATTCTCCACAGACTAAGAGACAGCAAGAGAGAAAAATTGAAAGAATGAAACATTTTTTATGAAGGCATTTTGGAAGGGAAAAACTATCTTTAAAAAAGTGACCATTTGTTTTCTAAAGACTAAATAAATATTATTTCAATAATAATAATAATTATGTAATTGTATAATAATAATAGTTCAATTGCAGCATCGTATAGTCAAATATGTTTGAATAATGACCGCTAAACTGTATGGTTGGCCGTTGTGCCAGGCAAGTGATTACATACATAGCTGTGCTGATTTTATGTCTCATAATACAGCTATTTACATGCAAATCAATATTGTTTGTCAATTCAATTATTTGTGACCCTGGACCACAAAACCAGTCTTGAGTCGCTGGGGTATATTTGTAGCAATAGCCAAAAATACATTGTATGGGTCAAAATTATAGATTTTTCTTTTATGCCAAAAATCATTAGGATATTAAGTAAAGATCATGTTCCATGAAGATATTTTGTAAATTTCCTACTGTAAATATATCAAAACTTAATTTTTGATTAGTACTATGCATTGCTAAGAACTTCATTTGGACAACTTTAAAGGCGATTTTCTGAATATTTAGATTTTCTTGCACCCTCAGATTCCAGATTTTCAAATAGTTGTATCTCGGCCAAATATAATATGTACCCTTATATCAGAAGTAGCCGGGTAATATGTGGGATAATGTACAGCCAGGCAGACATTATCGCACAAAAACCTTTAAGATGACACAAGACCCCTTCGCTTTACATTATGGTCCTGATCACTTGCCTGGGTTTGTTTTGTGATATTGACAAGCTGACACCCCTTTATCCCTTTCATATTTTTTACAGCCCTCCCTGAAGTCTGGATTTGTGTGTGTGTGACCTACCAAATGAAAGTTAAACATAGAAAACAGTATAATGTTTAAACAAAGATGGATACAGGCTCCAGGTGCTCTCTCTGCTGAATACACGTACTTTGCTGTCCATGTCCTTCTTTCCCACTGCAGATTGCAGTGCATGCAGCAAGGCATCTACCAGCCCCTCACACTCTCTCAACCGTCTGCGTGCCTCTGCACCGTCTGAGCTCACATTCCTATGGCAAACAGCAAAAGCATGAGTAAGCACAAGTAATTTGTACTAATTATACATCATAAGCTGACACATTAAAAGATTTTGTTGAGGAAGCTACTTTGAAACTTTAACTTGCCAAGCTACAAACTAATCATAATTAAAGTAGGTAAACGTGTAAAAGGAGTTAGATACGAGATACAAGTTATTGGCAAAAAGAAGCTAAGCCCTGCCAATATCTTTCAAATATATTTCATATATTAAATTATAATATATAAAATACACTTTCAGTATATTTTACCATATAATTTAATCTATGCACAAAAAGAGTTTGGATTTTTGAAATGATTAAACAGATTAAACAATGGATTATGGTGATAGCACTACAACAACTGGAATACAGCATCTTTATACAACCTGTTTGAAAACATAGTGATTAGTGCCAATTGACATTATTTAAAAAAAAAAATTGTTTTAAATAGCTAATTTACTGTTTATATGAATGGATTCACTAGAATGAATCTGAATTTAAGTGCAAAGACTGATAAAAGCTTGACAAAAAGGCAAAAACATATAGACAGATATTGCTTTTTTTTTTTTACAAACAATGCTATTATTTGATTGTGGTAGTTCAGATTTTTGTTGGAACGTGTATGATAAACAATATACAGTCACCCAGTCCAATTAAACCCACATTAAAGCCTTGTTCTGATCTCAGACCTGCTAAAATGACCAATGTCCCTCTTTAAAAATGAATGGATGACAGATTACATTATAAAGTTAAATGGTTAGCAGCATTATATAAAAAAAATTCAAAGAACGTCAGATGTGTCCACAGCCTGAGAAGGCACCAGGAGCCACCTGTGCTCTACATCGTTTACCCTGATATTTCTTTCCTACCAGCTGTTCAAGCTGTAGTTTTTTATAACTAGACTGCCAAGTTAAAATCCTATCCATAAAAAAGCCTCACTCCAGAGTAATCACTATCAAACGACAACTGGAGAAAACAAATTAAACTAGCACCCTGCAAACAAATGAGTCCTTTTCCAGCAGAAGAAATTTAAACCCATTTGCAGTATAAAACCCATACAGAATGTAACATTTTCCAGCTGTACATCTGTTGTGGCAGCCATTCAGATATAAGAGAGATGGATTGCGTTTTTACAGCTACCTGTCTTTTTCCTCCATAATGCCTGAAGGACAGTCAGCACAATATTGAATACGTCCTACAATTTCTTGTACCTTAATAGTTTTGAGAATCCAAGATATAATATTGTGGGAAAATCTAAAATAATTTAAAAATATATATATATATTACATTATTTATATGAATGTGCAGGTCTTTTTTAAATAAACGATCTTAATTAAAAAATCAAATTACCAGTCCTAATATATTTTTGTATAGAATAACATAAGGAATGTATGATTCACTGACTGACCCTGAAAACCCTTCATCGTTGGCTCTGCTCTAGGTCATCCAAAAATAAACATTTGCTAAAAATCATTTACACGCCCTCAGGCCATCCAAGATGTACAGTAGATGAGTTAATTTCTTCATCAGAACAGACTTGGAGAAATTTAGCATTACATCACTTGCTCTCCAATGGATCCTCTGCAGTGAATGGGTGCTGTCAGAATGAGTCCAAATCTTCATTCTGGATGGCAAGGACGAGTAATTTTTGGCTAAAATGTGCCTTTTAAGACCTTCAAAAATCTCAAATACAAACAGGACAAGGATGCACTACTTAATCATGAATTACAAATGTGCACATTTGTCACAATGAGCAAAGAAATAAATAAAGGGTGCTTTCCCTCTGCTGAAGAGAGACAGGAAACAAAACTGTGCCTCCAAGCAGCTTACTAGACAACAGATGTCACTGGATACAGTTTCCATGGATACAGGCTGAGCTGAGGCTAAGAAGACAGGATGAGGATAGAGTGGCGTTGTGCACAAACGCATGTCTGCGATGACTTGCTGAGAGGTGGCATCACATGGAAACACATGATGCCATGACGGCTGTACTGCCACCTCTCCCTGATCCATGATTTAGGCCTGCTGAGGCACTGGTTAACCTGATAATATTGATTGCCCTGTCACAGGGCAATAGCCAGTAAGAGCCTTGGCAAAGGAGAAAGAGCTAAAGAGAGATAAGGAGGTTGGGAAAAAAAGTACAAGAGTGCAGAGAAAGTAAGAAAGGGGAAATTGTTTTAGGAAATGTTCACAATGCTCCTCTTTAAAATAAAGAAAAAAAGGACGACCAATACTGGATTGTGCTTGCTTATGATGCATGAAAAAGAGCGAGAGAGAGAGAGAGAGAGAGAGAGAGAGAGAATACACATTTCTGATTAATTGATTGACTGCAAAAGATTTCTATTACTGTTTCTAAATGCTTTCATCAAAGAATCCCAATAAATGTATCATGGTTTCCACAAAACAATTAAGCAGCACAACTGCTTTCAGTAATGACAATAATCAGAAATGTTTCTTGAGCACCAAATCAGCATATCAGAATGATTTCTGAAGGATCATGTGACACTGAAGACTGGAGTAATGGCTGCAGAACATTCAGCTTTGCCGTCACAATAATAAATGACCTTTTAAAATATATTAAAACAGAAACTAGTTATTTTAATATTTCACAATACTACTTTTACTATATTTTTGCTCAACTTTCAAGGAACAATATTAGTTAAGGCAGCATAACTCAATCAATAATAGATACCTAAATAAACTATTGCAATAATGTCCATGCTTCTTATTTGCAGTATTTATTTTTTGCAGATATCAGAGATCCAGTAGGTCTACCTCCAAAAAAACGTGTTTTATAAATTTTTTGGAGGTAGACCTCCAAAAAAACGTGTTTTATAAAATGGTATACTTGAAAGGAAAGTGAACAGAGGGAGAGACTGGGAAGAACAGATGATAGCAGGTAGGTAGAGTCACATACAGAGAAGCAAGCAGAAGCTGGACTTGGCCCAGCAGGCTGCAGCACAACCAGCAGCAGCAGCAGGAGATTAGAGGCCTGGCTGCTAAAGAGGAAACAGAGGGTGGAAACACAGCCCCGTCCCTCTGGAGCTTCAGTGCTGAGCTCACACACAACACAGGACAGAGCTCAAACAAGAGAAGAGAGGGAGGAATTAAAGGAAAAAGGAAAGAGGGTGAACGCTACATTTATTCAGTGGTGAAACACCACATACAATTACTCAAGTGAATTCTTGTAGCATCCAAATCCTGCTTCTGAAACATCCCAATACAATCAACAGTGTAGTAAGGAACAGATATAAATATAATGATATCTGAATCACACGTCATACTGTATACACCAAATGTCATCATATTTGCACATTTCAGTTCTGCCTATAAGACACAACCAGAACACAACCCTGTGTTGGAAGTACCTACTCATGCAATCACAAGATTAAGGATTTAAAGAGAGCACTTGAGGCCATGAAACTGAACTACACTGACCTGCTTCTGCCGCTAGCAAGCTGATTTAGACAATCAGGCCTGTGCGCTGAGGCTTATCCGCAATAGCCACAGAAGTCTAGGTAGGTCAAACAAGGACAGTCACAGCCAAACAAGGCAACAATAAACTGATTTGATGCCACAGTGTCAAGAATGCAACAACCATATGTGAATCCTGAAAAAGAAGGATCACTGTAGGCACCATCATGGCACTGTAACACATTGTTTAAAACGACGATCACTTCAATGGAGGAAGATTTCATGATCTGATGAGTTGTTCTCAGTTCATATCAATCAATGGGCTGTGTTGCCAAGTCAGTGATGGTCAAGGCATATGCTAGAGTTTTAAAACATACTTATTGTTATACATGGATCCAATGTCCATTTATAATTGCTGAGACAGGTAAAGATCACACGGAATTAAAACAACAACAACAAAAACAAAAAAACATTTTCTTTTCAGGCAAAGAGCAGAATCAGCCAGGACCCCTCTTACACGGCAATGTTTTCTTGCTTTTCTTAATCAAAAGTTGAGCTACTTGAATGACCCCCAGAGGAGAGGATCAGTGTCTGCAGAGAGGCTCGGAACATTATACCAAAAATGGTTAAATATAGAACAGACAGAGGCTATTGATTTTTGCCTTTAGTTATAATGTGGAGATGTTTTAATATTTTTTCATAGATTTTTGTCAGAAGACAAATAAGTTCAGTCTATACAAAATCATCTGTTCCCACTTTTGTTTTCCATATACTGTAGATATATAGGTTGTCTATCTATAACTAAAGCTCATTTTAACTGCTGTTCCCATAGGCAAAAATTATCTTCTCAAAGCGAAACAATTTGCTTTTCTACCACTAGTGCGCAGGAACCATATCAAGCAATATATGGCAGTATAACACTGAGTTAGACACAAGAGACCATTGCTGTCATTGTTAACTAAAGCGTAAGCTACTAAAAAGTTTTGTTAATTGAAATTAAGCTGAAATAAAATAAAATATAAATATTACATGAAAAAATTAGAAAGGTTGCCTTGGTAACTAACTGAAATAAGTTGAAGTACTAAAATTACTAAACCTAAAACTAATATAACAAAGCTAATATATATATATATATATATATATATATATATAAGAAAAGATTAAAGATAGTTTAAAAATTAATTAATATTATAATAGTATATAAACAATACTAAAATAACATTGTGAGAAACGGACCATCTTAATATAAAATGAACTTCTTTCATTCATCTGAAACATTTTAGCAATTAGAACAGAAGAAATGAGTAAAAGGATTTTGCAGAAACCCAATAAGACTTGCAAAAACCGAAAGACCAATAAGAGTTTTCATTGCCATTGTTCTAGGTCAGCTAACAGAGATGTGAAAGGTGCTGTCAATCAGACCAGTATACCTTAAACATCCTGATGTGTTCTTAAAGACTGTGGTCCACTCTGCATCTCGTGGCTTTGAGTCCTCGTTCGGCTCGTGTTCCCAGCCCGAATGAGGGATAATGACCTCGTTAGTCATCGTCTGAAGCCCGTGGTTAATTATCACCATCTTCAGTGGCTCATATGAGGACAAGTTCCAAAGTGTTCCTAACAGGTGGAGTAAGACAGAGAGAGAGAAAAGAAACAGGAAAAGAAAAAAAGTACCTGTTACACCTCAACATGACACAAGAGCTACAAACAAAAAAGTGGCACCGCTGTTAGATCTGTTGACACACCACGCATTACAAAAGCATTGATTCTGAGTTTTCAGACAGGAACCTCCATTACAGACCACGACTAAGAAGGATTGGACAGGAAAAAAGGAAAGGAAAAACAAAGTTTGAGAAAAATTGCCCAGAGTAAACAGAACGTGAAGGGGCCAGGCTGTTATTTTCTAGACAATAAAACTGAGAAGCTTGTTCTATAAGCCAGCAGATATCTATACGCCTACACAGTTAAGAAAGACTGGCCTTTGTTTTATTAACTTGGCAAGCCCCATACAGCTACTGCTACCCTTTGGAAATGTACAGTGAATAAATAAACTGCCTTTTCTTGGGTTAGTAAAAACTAAGTCTCAGAACCACAGGTCATACTGGCTAAAAACAGAAATAGCAAGCGTTTACATAGTTGACTACTAACTCAAACAAATGTACATCCTGATCCTGATACAACTCTGAATCTATTTTTCTGCCCTTCATACACATCATCATCACTCCATGTTCTTCTCACTCGGTAATTACTTCCAGATCAATTTCTGCTCACAAAAACTCCAACGGGAGACAAGAAGTAAACATGTCATAGCTCTGTGTAATGTGGGCTCAGGTTCTTTTAACCACCAAAATAAATCTATTTACTATCAGATAATAACAGTAATAATTGTACTTCCATCTGTGAGGTGGTTCCATCGCCATCACCTCTTAGGTGCTGAATGGCCATTAGACCCTGGTTAAAGTCCAGATAACAGACACTGTACACATGGCCGCTGCCGAATGTGGGAATGTCTATTTGGTCAAGTGGAACATTAAGGAGCATGGTTCATTACCGGCTAGCTCATGCACGTGTTATTGTGTCAGATGGGCTTGTAGTCAGAGGAGATGTAGAGGTCTATATATAGCACATGCTGATTAACTTCACTTCATTGGCTTTAATAGGAAGCAGACAACTGGAGCAGGTTGAAGCCAAAGGCTGTATACATGTATATGTGTGTGTATATATATATATATATATATATATATATATATA